AACTCCTGAGCTCATGCAATCCTCCTAACTCAGTCTCCCAAAGTGCTGGGATTACAGGGGTGAGCCACCATACCTGACCAACCTATTTTAAATTTATAATGGATGCTCTATTGTTAATGTCCATTAACTTGATTGCTCTTCCTTCTTTTCAATGTTAAGAAAATGTTCATAAACATGTTCCCTTTATTATGAATAATAAATATACTAGGAGACTTTTTTTCTCAGTGTCTAGTTATTCAAGTGTTTAATATGATCCCTGCAGGGAGCAGTGGCCTACACCTGTAATCCCAGCACTTTGGGAGGCCTAATCAGGTGGATCACTTGAGGTCAGGAGATCAAGACCAATCTGGCCAACATGGTAAAACGCCGTCTCTACTAAAAGTACAAAAATCAGCCAAGTATGGTGGCATATGCCTGTAGTCCCAGCTACTTGGGAGGCTGGGGCAGGAGAATTGCTTGAACCTGGGAGGCAGAGGTTGCAGTGAGCTGAGATCACACCACCGCTCTCCAGCCTGGGTAACAGAGAGAGTCTATCTCTATAAAAAACAAAAAAAAAAAAGGTGTTGAATATGATTCTGATTTTTACAACTCAAAGTTGTTAGCCTCCACCTTACGAGCATATCACAGCTTCTGACTTCACTGAGGTAACAGATGTGACATCCTATCTTGAGATTCATCTGCTCAACAAATATTTAGGGATAACTGTGTTTTTGTTCAGCACTAGAGTAAAGTACAAGACAGACATAGTCCCTGCCCACAGGCAGCTACCGAAAAAATAAAGGATTTGGTGAAATCTTTTCTCCTAGACCCATTGTTGCCCTACCCAAAGCCCCTTTACCCAACCATTGCATTCAACCCCCATTTTCCGTGTAAGTTGCAAACAGTTCACAGCTGCTCTTTTCTCCTTATCAGCAAGAAAATGCCTGAAAGCTTACTCATGTCCCTGCCCCAGAGATGACCCTTAGTCAACGACAATAAACGGGTACAAAAGCCAGACCCCACTGCTTTGAAATGGAATAACTCATACCATTCATGCTTCAAAACACCCTGTGAGATCAGGCTACAACTGTAGGTCTGTTGAAACCACATCTTTGCTTAGCTTTTTCCAGTCCCATCCTGCAGTCCCTATTCTCTACAGGTTTTTACTAAGAACATTCCCTAATAAATCATTTGTACAAGAATTGCCCTTTATTTCTGCTTTAAACTTATTCGATGACATGTAAATTTCACTTACTCAGCACAGGTAGAGTCATACTTCTTGATGCTCCTTCTCAATTCCCATAGGTAGCGTTGCCAGATTTAGCAAATAAAAACGCAGAATGCCCAGCTAAATTTAAATTTCAGATAAACGGCCAGGCGCACTGGCTCACATCTGCAATCCCAGCACTTTAGAAGGCTGAGGCAGGCAGACGGCTTGAGCCCAGGAGTTTGAGACCAGCCTGGGCAAGCAACATGTCTACTTAAAAAATACAAAAATTAGCCGGTTACGGTGGCATCTGTAGTCTCAGCTACTTGGCTGGGGTGGGAGGATCACTTTGAGACCAGGAGGCAAAGGTTGCAGTGAGCCATGATGGTGCCACTGCATTCCAGCCTGGGCAACACAGTAAGACCCTGTCTCAGAAAAAAAAATAAAGATTATGTGACAGTGGGTGGCTAGTCAGGCACCAAGAGGGCAAGAGAGCGCTCCTCACCCCACACACCAGGAATCTCGGGCAACCATCAGGTGATGATCCGGGGTTTTTAACTGTTGCGCTAAAGTAATAATTGGTCACAGCTGGTGTCAGGGATAGGCAGTCCCCTAACAGATAGAAAACACCTGAAACTGATGATCAGCAGCTTCCCCAAGATCTCAGGAGTTGGGTGAGTGGGGAGAAGTAATGCAAGACCCAGGAAGTATGCCAAGGTATAAAACCCCAAGTCAAAAGGTCAAGCTGCGTACTTGATCTCTCAAGTCATCCACGTGGGCCTCCTCATCTTTACTTCTTTTCTTTCCTGCTCTAATGCTTCTTAATGAACTTTCACTCCTGCTCTAAAACCTGCTCAGTCTTTCCTGCCTCATGCCCCTCAGTCGAATTCTTTCTCCTGAAGAGGTAAGAATTGAGGTTGCGGCTAGGCGTGATGGCTCACACCTGTAATCCCAGCACTTTGGGAGGCCAAGGTGGGAGCACCTGAGGTCTGGAGTTTGCGACCAGCCTGATCAACATGGAGAAACCCTGTCTCTACTAAAAATACAAAATTAGCTGGGTGTGGTGGCGCATGCCTGTAATCCCAGCTACTTGGGAGGCTGAGGCAGGAGAATCGCTTGAACCTGGGAGGCAGAGGCTGCAGTGAGCCAAGATCATAGCATTGCACTCCACCCTGGACAACAAGAGCAAAACTCCATCTCAAAACACACACACACACACACACACACACACACACACACACACACACAACAAGAATTGAGGTTGCTGCAGACTCGTACGGATACAGAAACGTTCCACTGGTAACATATTTTGGTGCCATGTGACCTGGGTAATTTCCACTGCTAACATTCAGATAGACAATGAATAATTTATTAGTGTAAGTATGTCCCATGCAATATTTGGGACATATTTACTTATACTAAAAAATTATTTGTTATTTGCCTGAAATTCAAATTTACCTGGGAATCCTGTATTTTATCCAGCAACCACATTCCCAGGGTTTTTACAGTTACAGCTCTGTCTTCCATAGCTCCCAACCAAGCACAGATCTCAGCACCACCCCCTACATTTCATCTCTCCATCCTATTCAACAGCACTAATTTGGTGTCCTAAGGCCCAAATGTACTTTCCTCATCTTCCTATTATCTCTCCCCAGATTCCACTGCAAAAATTGATACCATTTTCCAAAGCTTCAGTTTTGTCATTATATTGTCAATACTGTCCTTTTTCTAATTATGAAACTCCCGATATTTCTAATTATGGGAGTTTCTAAATATGAAACTCCCAATGGGAGTGACTTACAACTTTCAAACAATAAAATTTAAACACTCTTGTCTGCTACAAAAGCACCTTAAAGTAAATATTCATTATTATAATTTTGCATAAAAAGAATCTGGGATTAGAAAGAGATAATTGTATTCAACAATTGCAGGTAAGACAATAAGTGAGAAAAGATGATGCTACAGCATAAAGTTATTGTTAATGAGTGAATTAAGATAATTTAAATGCATACCAGTGTTCTGTAACACCTGTCAGTTAGAGGAGTAATGACAAGTCGAGGTGAGTTACCAAGATATTCATAAGCATATTTTACATTGCAATTAATGATACGAACTCGGGCGTTCTCATTTTCCCAGTAATACCGGAGCTGAGCAAGCCACTGGAAATCTGTATCATGTGAGACACCTAGAAAGAATAAAATAAGATGCATAATCCTTAAATGGAAATAATTTGAAAAATAAGTATTTTATCTTTTATAACAGCAAATATTAAAATAATTCATGTTTGCCAACTTATAAAAAAGATTGTGTTAAACAAATTCTGTTGAGAGAAAAATATATATAGTACAAGTCTTTGTTTCCAGATGCTATCAACATTTTATCTTTAAAAATAAAGAAAAAGTCACATACCCATTTCAATCATGTCCATAACCACATCTCTAGCATGGACATCAATAGTAACCAAAGCCCCCAGAGTGGTCCTGGTCTGCTTAGACAGTTTTCCTCTTACCAGCTCTACAATATCATTCAGTTGGTTCTGAAGTTCCTTATAGTACTTCTTTAATCCCTACAAAATAAAAAAAGCAATCTAATTGATGTCATATCATACTTAAAACATGTATTTTATATATGTAGTCTTTCATAAAACAATTCTGAATTCATAATCTATGGGTTCAAGTGATTCTCCTGCTTCAGCCTCCTGAGTAGGTGGGACTACAGGCATGCACCAGTAGATCTGGCTAATTTTTTGTATTTGTAACAGAGACAGGATTTCACCATGTTGGCCAGGCTGGTCTCTAACTCCTGACCTCAAGTGATTGATCCACCGGCCTCCACCTCCCAAAGTGTTGGAATTACAGGCATGAGCCACAGGATCCAGCCC